ATTGACCTACAATAATAGTATACGCGTACGGGTACGCGCGCCGCCGTTAGTCCACTTCCCCGGGCTAATAGAATAGTATACGGATGTTGGACGCGAACATCGTAAACCTATCTGCCGTATTATTTTATTTGTTTTTGTTTGTTTTCGCCGCGGTCAGTGTTCTGCGGGAGGCGAGTCGTTTATCACGAACACCGGTATCTAAATGAATAGCGTGGGCCACAGTGAGTTTTAACGAATTTTCATCAAAGTTTATGAACCAATCTGAAAATTGATGGTCTCTACTAATGTTACTATTATTAATGCCACGCGCTTTCTCGGTTTTACCAATTATTAAGAGAGCTATACGTAAAAGTCGAAATACAACTTTCTTGTTCACCAACAAGGGGAATTTTTATTTTTAGAAAACGTGCTACACTTGAATCTTAAAATAAGATTTTTGGTAGAAAAATAAATTTAAAACAAAAGATTGATACTGGGGATGGGAATGGCTAATGTTGTAGGTGAGAAGTTAGGAATGCGAGGTTTTCCCTAGTTTTTCCCGTTCATATGAAAACACTTGAGAAAGTCAAAAAACAATTTCTTCAAAGTAACACCAGAGTCAAATCTCCTTTCGGAAAAGGCATTAGAGTTCAAATTGGAGCAACATTTCTGATAGAAAATTTGTTAAAGTAAAATAAATCAATTTTAAATAAACATCATTGTAAACAAATACATTAATCGCTCCACCCGGAATCTAAAACTTGGTAGGGAGAACAGGAAAGTTCACAGAATAATTAGTTATATTATTTTCAATTTTACTTTTTTTTGATGTGATTCAATTACAAATATTCATAGAGACTTAAAATATCTACAAAAAACTTATATTGGCCTTTTTTTAAACGTGATTAATTATTCTTAATATTTTGACGATGTTCATCAAATGTGAAGAACCGGTATAAAACATGGGAAAACCTGTACAAAATTATAGAAAACATATGAAGCCTATCTAAATATTTGACTATAAAATTAAATATACATTGTTAACGAAGCATCACTATCAACTTAACTCCGTTCAGAATCGTCTTATTAGTAAGCAATGGTTTATCATTGCTTACATATATACATTAAATTATTTATAACAGTGGCTGCGCCCGTTCCTATTATTCTAAATCGTCTTTTTTAATATATCGATGTTGTTTTTTGGTTAGTATTGGTATCTTCCATATATTAGTAAAATTCTGAAATGAAGTGTACGTTTCCTGTTTTTTTTTGGTACTAATTGGTCGACTATAGTATTTAATTAATTTAAAATAAAAACTATATAAAATTTAAATTAATAATATAATTTAAATAATAAATATATTTTCGATATTCTGAACATTACGTTATAACTTCATATATGGTTTCGAAACCCATGCGATATCCTGATTTACGAGTATATAACATTGTTTGAGTGACAAGTACTGTCGATTGAAATATGATAATATTCCGCGATCAGTTCAATACAGAGTGAATTTGGAATTAAACATAATCGGATGGGTTCATAAATCATAACCGAAAGGTGCCCGACTAGATTTGATACCAAACACTGTTCGGGGAGTTTAAACGTCTAACGGTAGAAACGCGTGTCAAACTATTGTTCCTAGGAAATCGTGTAAATGAAGCACACTCCGTCGGTAGTGAGCGTTCAGTCGGCCAATCAAATAATGCCTGACAATGTCATTCCATTATATATACATATATATATGTGTGACTATCGTTATTCCCGGTGTAAACGCGTGGTAAACGTTGTTAGTTAACGCGAATAATATCCACATTACATACTGATCGGTGATCGACGGCTGAAAATACGACAACGTAACATTCATAATAATTATTAGGGATGTGAATGAAAAACACTAAAAAAACCCATACCAAATCCATGAAAAATCAGCCCTTTAAAATTTGAATCAAATCAACACTGAAATACAGTGAAACGCTAAATTACAATAATTTATATATATTTTAATATATTTATTATTATATGATTATATAAATATATTTTAAATATTATGTCGAAAAAACCTACTTAATTTTTGGGGCCAGATTTTCTCTGGAAAATAAAATTGAACATAATCAAACTTGTATTTTATTTGCCCTTTTTTTTTTCTATTATTACATATGATTATGAAAACTGCACGAAATATTAAATGCTGGATATCAAACCTTTTCGTCGATTCGAATATTGGCTTTCTTTCGGTGACAGAAGAAATTAATTTGAAAAATTCAAGAGATTTGCCTTTAAAAAATTACACTCCGACGCGTAGACACTTATACCGATTATCCAATGGTAGTAGGTACCTACGTATGCACGTTTATACTTTTCAACAACAACATGGTTGTCCTATATCGTTTTATTTTATATTGTTTATTTTTTTTAAATTTATATGCTCGTTATTTTATAATATTATGATGCTATCAAATGTTACCGTCTGTTTAATAACGTGTTTTACGATATTATTCGGAAATCTCGTTATCGGTATTTTGACGACGTCTCTGACGTTTTTTGATTTTCAATAAATAATAAAAACAGTTTCAGTCTCTATTGTATTCAGTGCAATATTGGTAAACGTCTTTTTTTTTTTTTTTTTACATTTTCGTGCTAAACAATATAATTGTTATTATTGACGAATAAGCTCACCACATTATGCGAGATGTTTTATTTTACAGTAAAACCACATAGTTATAGTATGGTTTGGTACACACTGTAAAATAAATTATGATATTATGTTTACACTATATGTGTTCACATAATATATGCGCCCACTCTTCATAAAACGAGAACATTTTATATCCATTTTATTAAGAGAAAAAATGTTTTATGCATTTCACGTACCGTAATAATATAATGTATGTTTTTCTCAAAATGTATGAAATTATCGTCCACTTTAGGAGGATAAAACGAATTATTAATAATACACTCTAACCTAAAACACGTGATTTTCACGTCATAAATTATCGTGGAGGGAACATATTATATTTCAAATATCCATAATTGAACCCTCGGTAGTGGATATAGTGGGTCTAATAATCTAAATAAAATGATTATAATATTTTAAATACGTAATGTGGTTCAGAAATGTATATAATATATAAAAATATATTTCAGAAACCTTTAGATTGTGCTGTGAACAACATTTGGATGTAAATGTATATGTATTTTTTTAAAAAAAAAAGACATAACTGAGATTATTACAAATAATACTGAGAATTACTTAAGTGGAAAATGATCATTAATTATTGAAAATTTACATAAAACTATGGCTTTAAATACATTTTAATGGATATTTTATTTTTAAGTATCTTTTAAATGTATTTATTCATAAAACTAATGTAAAAATAATTAAATTTAAAAAAAAAAAAAACATACTTATTTGAATATTTAGATTATAAAATCCTCTTAACAATTTTGACAAGAATTACTTGACCCAGATATCTTCCCATGAAATAATAACATATGATTGTATTTTTTAATTTAATTTCACGAGAAAATCTAATCATTTTTTATTTTGGACAACCAGTAAGACATTTTATCATTTAATAATCTCAACACGCTTAGTAAAACAATTTTATCATCGAATTTCAAATCCACGGAATATATTATGTATTTTTTTCCTTAAACAACAAATGGAATAAAATATTGATTTAATAACAATGCAAAATATTTTAAATCGTATATTATTTAGATTCCGATTTTCTCTTGACTGGTTCATAAATAATTTTACTGCAAGCGATTAATTCTGTAATGTTAAAATAGATAAAGTTAAATCATTAATCACTCATATAATTTGAATTTATTTATGTTTAGACAAAATAATAGAAATCGATAACTTTGAAATTAATTTTGTTTGTCGAAAAATTTTGACCCATATTTACAAGTGTTATTAAATTCTAGTGAATAATACAAGAATAGCCGGCGACAATATAGGCAAATTCACTACGTCAGTGCGTATATTGTAATAATAGTTGCCTATATTGTCAACTTTGCTAATTTAATAAATTGATTTTAACACATTTTCAGTACTTTCAGTAGAATTTTCATAATTATATAATATGGATGCACTTAAAATGAAATGTGAATTTTATAATGCGCAGAATTTTTTGCTGTTGATTATTGAATTATTGATTTGTTATTTTTCTAGACTTTAAATTTGAATATAAATTCATATAAAATTTTAAACATTAATACACGTATACGACACATAATTTAATAACACGACTTTGATATTGATCCTTTCAAAAATTTTGATTAACTATACACATTAATACATTTTTAGTGTAAGAAATATTAAAGTTTCCCTACATCCATGGTTCGATTCGTCATATTTTACTTTTTATAATTGATTATACATTTTTTGAAAAAAAATATTAAGATTTACAGCAATTTTTGCTGAAAAAAAATACATTTTCAGCAAAAGAGTTGATTTACATATTTAAGAAATAAAGAAACATCAGTTTTATTGTTTTTTATTTCTAAAACACTTTGGTTACAAACTACAAGAAACAACACGTTTTAAAAATAAAATATATTAACTAAGCAGTATTAGGTTTAGTTATAATCTATAACCTTACCAGTTGACCGATTTTCGTTCAGAATCGTTTTATGTTGGAATGATTTTTCCTTCCACAACAATTGCGCTCATGATATCTAAGAATTTTTTTATTTTTATTTTTAAATAAGTCTAACATGTCTTTTCCTGTTGTTCACAATCGTGCGGCAGCCGTGCAACAGTGGATAATTGCCACTTATAATAAGAATAATAATAATAAAAAAAAAAATCGGTAAACGGCGTGGTGTTAAAAACGTATCCGGAATACATTGACGACAAAATAAAACTTTTCGGGCAAAAACTTAGGAAAACGGTGAACATAATACAAAAAGGGTTATTTACGAGGGGATTTTAACTGTTTGAACATTGTACATACCTACGCATATATAAGCGGCCGGAGTGAATCCGGACAATTGGCGAAGAAACAGAATTCCAGTAAAAAAAAAAAAAAAAAAACACTAACGACACCTAAAATCTCTAATGATTTCTATAGTTTTTTCGACCGGAATAGTTATTTTTGTCATTTAACAGAAAACTTTTGTATCATCAATTCGAAACCAATACTATAAAAATAAACACAACATTTGATAATATATAATGTAACACGTGATTCGATATTATGACACTTAATTTTTTTTTTTTTTCGACCCTCGACATAATAACTTTACAACTGTGCAACGGGCATTGTTATTCGCGAGAACGTACAAAAGACCTATAACCGCTCTTAAGGCCCACGCTGCACCGCGTGAAAAGAAAATACAAAAGGCCGTTATAGTAATTTGCTCGAACGTTTTCACTTCCGTCTCTTATACAATGGAATTTAATTTAGCACTTGACGCGTGTGACGTTTTGGCTGCAGTGTAACGTTATAACATTATAATTTTTATCCCTTCGCCGGTTTCTTCAAAAAAGAAAGTCGATTTTTTTTTTTTTTTTTTTACTTAGATTCTGAGCGGAATAACAAATGTATTAGTTATACTGTGATTTTTGCTTCAATATTTACGAATAACCTTCATTGTTAAATGAAAATTATCTCAAACCCTTGTGGACACATTAAGACACACTAAGAGTAGCACATTTGTTGAACGAAAATATTGTCTTTTTGGTGCATGAAAAACGTATATTTTGATTTTGTTTTAAATAATAATTAGACAAATTCGGGGGAAAATCGTGTGAAAAACGTTTTTGGAGAAATTTCCCAGTATCCGCAGTACTTATTTTGAACGCATTCACCTATAACATTATTTTAGGTACATAAACGCCCAACCTTGTTTATAATTATCCTGAATGCATTTACTTTTCGATTTTTTTTTTTCGATTAGTCCAAATTTCATTATTTAAAATCATCCAGCAATTTCATTTTGCATTAATTTTTTTTTTTTTTATTTTAGATTACATGTCCCACAAAGAATTTATTAGGTTTACTAAGGTTTTTTTCTCGAAATCATTTTTCCGTAGAGTAAAAATATTCAAATTTTTTATATCTTTTCTTAAATATAAGAATTTTTTCAAAATGGTACTTTATTTATTACAAATTTATAAATTATCAACAGATTTTCCATAATACAAATAAACAAATGTTGATATATTGGGAATTTTGTTTTTTTGGATTTCTAAGTTACCATGGTGAGAAAAATGAATAATATTAATGCGCTAGTTTGTTCATAATATTGATGTATTGTTGTGTTTTAGCTTCACATTAAATTACCCTATATCTTATTTTTAAATTACGGGTCACTTAGAGAACTTTCAATAAGTCGTGGGCCTTGTTGATTAGGTGTCGACCCTTTTTTTAAGTGGGGCTGTGAAGCCCAAATAGTTTAGTGGACTTTCAGTTTGTAACCACTGCTCTATATCCTATTCTAACGCCAATCAGAACTTTTCGTTTATTAGAGTTGCCTTCCAACAATAATTATTGTTTGACTGAATTTTTACGCTTTGTCACGTACGTTTTAGTAGACTTTCAATGCCATCCGTTTTATTGTGCGACAAATTAGTTCCACAAGTATTATAAGATTAACTGTTATTATACTAGTGTAAGTAGTATTAAACTCACATAAAACCCATAGTTATTGTAGATTATGATTAAATTTGTTCAAATAATTTCACAGTTGCATTTTAAATTCTCACAATAGGTAGGTGTATATTAATTTTCGCCGCATAATCATAAGGACCGTTTTATAGAATGCGTTCGATTGCAAAGAAATTCGAATTTCTCATGTCCACAGGAATCGTATTTTATGTAAAAATGTTAGTTTATATAACGCTCCGCAGCCCTTCCCCTTGCATTGCGATTTTGAAAATATACATTTATAGTGTTGTTTTTTTCATTTCAACAGAGGTTGAATTTTATAGTTACGCACGATATTTTAGTAAAATTCAATGCACTGAGTTATAACTCGATACCTGCTTTATTTCGATATAAATACCCGGTTCCCCTTTAATTTGTTTAAAAATAAAAACAATATGTAAACTCCGATGCATCACGATAAACGCTATATAGAATTTGTCTATAAAACCATAATAATATAAAATATAACTAATACTGATTATTTGATCTGTTTAATTTTATCGCGATACCGTGTTTTGCCGTTTATTTTTTTGCATCGTTTTAAGATGATAAAATACAAACATTTAAACGGAAAATTACGTAGAATTTGACATTAAAAACCGTCTCGATTAGAGAATGTAACGAATCGCAATTTCCAGACACAATGACGACATGATATGATTCGGTATTCAAAATATTACAGAAATCGAAAATTAATTTAAAATCGATTTCGACCGGCGTCGGCCTTTTGCGATAAATAACAATTACGAAATCTAACTCTGGTCGAACAATGCGGCTTATTTTCGCGGAAGAACCGGGGGAAAAAAAAAAAAAAAAAAAAAAACCGGAGTTGGACCCACGAGGATTTTATAGTATTATTACTTTCCGCGTTCTATACGTCTCTGTCACGCCGCGTTCCCGTACGTCCTGTCTCTGTACTCTTGCCTCGTCGTTTATCTCGTCACGCGTATAACGTCATCCGCTCGTTTCGAAAAATAAGCTAAGCCCCACTCGAGGTACCGCGCGTAAATACGCGCAATTTACATATTACAGTAACACGACCCACGGATGAACCGACGTCAAGTCGTGTCTAAAAGACCGCGGGGGGNGGTGGAGGAGGCGGTTGAGAGGAGGGGGGGCGGGGGTGACGCTAGGTCGATCCGCAGGAAATTTCGGAGTCGCCTCGTTGTCGCGCGTGACACCTGCGACCCGGAAATATTCGCCGGACGGGTATAACGACGACGACGACGACGACGACGGCGTAAGTTTCGTACACGCGTGCCCGCAACCGCGTTTCGTATGCGCGTAATATCTGACGGACGGAACGGCGGCCACGACTTTGTACGCGCGCCCGGGCACTCGGCCGGTGCGGCCCCGCGCCGTTGGCGGGATACGCCGTTCAATTACTTTCGCGGGCCGCACATGGCCTAATTGCGCCGCTATTATTTGTTGAACGCGACGGCGCTGCGCGAGCATCATGAACGTTGTTAATTGTTACCGCGACCCGGAGACGAGCCGGCAATGAGCGAACAGTCACCCCAGAGCCATTAACCGAATTAAAACCGCGTGACGCCGCCGGTCCGCCGTCGCCGTCGTCATCGGGTCGTCGAACGCCGATTGCCGAACGCGTCGGAATGTCCGTTTTTATTATAATTGTACTGTTGCGATAGTCGACCTCGGCATGGCACGCCCGTAGCGTCCCATTCGCGCTCCTCTCGTCTCCCCGCCCGCTGTGTACGAACCCCGTACGACAATTACGATAAAACCGCGTAGTGACCGATTGCGATGTACGTCGGTCGCCAGTACTACGTCAGTCGTCCGTTCGTATCGAGCGCTGGTGAATTCGATTGAAAACGAACCTCGATACTAGTGGGTGATCGACTTTTTGTGAACAACAGAGGCCGTGAAAAAACGAAATATAATAATAATTCTCGGCGGACCGAGAATTTAAATGTTTACATTTAAGTTAACGGGATATTATAATTTACATTTTAATATGGGCACGGCCAGTAAAAAATAACGTAAAGTATAAACATAACTTATCTTTTTTCAATGTGGGTATTTTTTTTGAATTTTGAATTGATACTCCGGTGGGCCGGTTAATAAATGATCGTGGGCCCAATTCGGTCCTCGGGTCGTAGTTGTTCACCACTGCCATATTAGACTATATTATACTTAGACTTATTAACTAATGGATCGTGCCACGAGAGAATATTACTCAAGCCGAACCTGTCACGAGAAATAAGAACATTCGGGAAGAATATTAAAAGATGAATTTTTTATCGATTTATCACCTCGAATTAATTGCGATCGATAACATCGAAAATAATCATTTATATGTATTGATTTATTTCGATAACTGACGATGTACAATTGATAAACACGGTCTGTTATAGTAAATTAGTGATTCCCATAGACAAAATATACAAACTGTTATTTTCTTCCCGGATTTCTTTTTTTTTTTTTTTTATCACAGGCATATACTATGCCTGATACTAGATATTAAACTGTTCAACTCCATCGAAACTCGCGATTTCATTCGAGAGAATAAAAAACAATCACCAAAATGCAGTGGTTTAATACACCGCAATTATGATACCCAATGTACATAATGAAATATGTAAGGAAATATGTACGAATAAAAAAAAATTCGGTTTTTATTTCGTTTAGAAAATAATAGCACGCAACGATACTCGTCTCTAATAAAATGAAATAAGTAAACAAATCACATATGAAAAAAATAAACTGAAAGTGTTCATATTTATTTTGAATGCTGAAGAAAATACATTTGTGTTGTGTAACACAAATTTCAAGGGATAAATACAAAATCTTATTATACGACACTTATTTTTGTATATTTAAATTTATATATTATAATAATATTATCATAGCACTTTTATTTCCGAGGCTTATAGGACTTTAAGGCATTTCGCCACTTCCACCAAGTCTCTCCATCGTTCTCGATCATATGATTCATATTGTATTGAATAGGCCTTAGTACTAAAACTCATTCGAATTCTGCAGTAAATGAAAACGGTGGGATTGAAAACGTGAAATTCTAATTAAATTCTTTCGCCCCGTGAGGCCTCTACCCGATAGACATTTGCATATTCTAAGACGCTTAATTTATATTTTTCGTTATTACAGTATTATTGCTATAGCCGTGTGTGTATTCCATATGGATTACTTATCAAATAACTTTGGGCACGTACATTAATGTATACATTTCGATTTTCGGGTACCTGTCAATTAAAAACAATACGTCGCCCTTCCATTTTTTCTATACCCAAGTGAAAATAATGTTACATTTACATCCGTAAGCTATGGCGTTCGAAAATTGTATGATAACCCATAGAGACCGGCTATTCCGTTATAATCTATATTATTGCATTCGATTGTCCACAAACAATTTCCACGGAATTTTTCCTAGTGTTTCGATAGGCACTAGGATCATACGAGTTTAACATATTCGATAAACAACGCTGTTACTCACGTAATTATGTCGACATATAAAACGTTAATATTCGGTTTGTTTTCATTACCTGAAAAAAAAAAATAAAAATAAAAATGATCAATATGAATTAAAATAAATGCTTAATGTAACGATTACGTATTTTGTTAATTATTATAATAATTGAGTAGGTAATGTCGCGACTATGCTCGAAACTTGAACTTGGATGTTCTATTTTTTTCAGAAATCAGATCAATTCCACGACAGGACCGAACTGATGAAATAAATATTGGAACCGGAAAGCTGGCTGTTTTTTTTTTTTTTATGCTTGATTAGAGGTTTCTATTGGAAACACCAATCAATTCAGGTGCGTGAAAGCGGAGTCGTGTACACTTTTTTAAATCATGTAATTTTACCGTTACGTATGCATTATGATAGATAAATATTACTACTAAACTATTTACATTTAACTAAAAAGACAATATTATTTACTAAAAAAAAAAAAAAAAATGCATATGTTTCTCAAATCGTACATTGTAGAAAATATGTGTTTGTTTGAAAGTATGTTATATTTAATTAAGTTTATCTTATAGTTCGATAATTATCATAAATCGCATGTTTTTTGTTAGAGACTATTCGTTAATCAACTCGTATTTCGTAACAATTGAATGTTCCATTGTAGTGAACACGGTTTTGTGTATTTAATAAAATCAACTGTGACAATGAACGTCATTATTACATTTTTTAAATCGCGCAGCTTTTACCATACAATTTATTGGATATACAAATTTTCCTACAATAAGTGTATTATTATTTATTAAGTTAAAATCTCATATTTCAGCGCTGGCGGAACACTACGCTCACGATTACAATTTGTAATACAATTTGTTTACGTGATTTAATTGCTAGACGAGTTCATTTCACTATACAGTTATTGTTTTGACG